TCAAGGCCATCTCTTCCGGTCCTTGGAGCACCAACCTCCAGGGCGCAAACACGACTCCTGGCACCAATAAAAAAAATAGTCCAGCAATGAATGCAGTGACAGTGGTGCCCCAATGGATGGGGGGGGAGGAGAGGCTTTCCCTCTGCTTCCCCCCAAGAAACAGTGGGTTTGGTACCCAGGCCCCACAGATCTCAGGTATCTACCAGCACAGCTCCACACCGCCCTTGTGGGCAGAGGAGCCCAGAGCTTCCATTTTACAGGGTCTCCCATCGCAAAGGAGGCCTATAGTCATGAGTTAACGCAATCTAAGGCGCTGTTAATTCCTGAGCAGACTCCCCACAGGGCTGAGGAAAGAGGGTAACATTTCATAACACTTAAGTCACATCGGAGTCCAAGTCCCAGTGGGACTTCGTGAGAAGTGACAGGGTCCTAAGTTAACACGATAGGTGGCCTCCTCACTCCATTTCAGGCACTTGGCTGCACCAGCTCTGAGACAGGTCAGCCAAGAAACACCTGAGCAGAAACAACCCAGGGCTACCACCATGGAGAGACCGGAAGGTGACGAGAGTGCACTCAACTTCACCCTTTGCTGACTTACAAATGGCTCTACTGGGTCAGACTAATGGCCCATCTAGCTTAGTATCCGGTCTTCCGACAGTGACCAATGCTTCAGAGGGAATAAACAGAACAGGACAATTATCAAGTGATCCATCGCCCGTCATCTAGTCCCAGCTTCTGGCACTCCAAGGTTTAGGGACACCCAGAACATGGGATTGGATCCCTGACCATCAGGGTTAATAGTCATTGATGGGCCTATCCTCCCTGAACTGATCTAATTCTTTTTTTAAACTCTTTTATAGTTTTGGCCTTCGCAATGAGTTCCACGGGTTGACGGTGCGTTGTGTGAAGAAGTCCTTCCTTTTGTTTGCTTTAAACCTGCTGCTTGCTAATTCCACTGGGTGACCCCTAGTTCTTGTGTTACGTGAAGGGGTAAATAACACTTCCTTAGTCACTTTCTCCACACCAGTCATGATTCTATAGATCTGTCAGACCCCCTCCCCCTGAAGCATCTCCTTTCTAAGCAGAAAAGTCCCAGTCTTTTAATCCCCCCCCCCCCAATCTGGAAGCTGTTCCATTCCCCTAACCGTTGTTGCCCTTCTCTGTACTTTTCCCAATTCTAATATATTTTTTGAAATGGGGCAACCAGAACTGCCTGCAGTATTCAGCCCTATAATAGCATTGGCACCAGCTTTCACAAAGCCCCTGCCAAGTCCCAACCACAAATAAACTCCCCTAGTGGCAGTCAGCCACGGAGGGTTGGAAGAGAGGCAAAACCAGGGGGTGCTAAACCCATAGGCAGGACAGTGCTGCCCTTGCCAGGAACAGCTGCCATAGGCTATTGCTCCACTTCCTCCTCTCAAAGCTCCGGGGCTGTCAGATTTTGGCACCAGCTGCGAAGCCACTAAATGGAAACAGCAGTTTCAGCTCATGGAACATCAGTAATTCCCAGGCCTGGTGTTTGTGCGACTGGCTGAGCAGCCCCCTTTGTGTACAGCACTAAGCCAGGCTGCTCCGAGCGCAGCGCACAGACAAATCCAAGTTGCACCCATTGAGCTCTTCAAGGGTTTCCTACTGAACATGCCTCATTAAAGCCGCAGGTCTTCCAGCAGCTCTGCGCGTTGCTGTTTAAGAACCTCTCCTTACAGGGGCTTGTAATTCAGTCTTGGGAGCTTGCTTGGAGCTCACACACACAAGAGACCAGTGTTCGGAGTTAAATCTCTTTAGAAAGGATGTTCTGTTTTCCACTATTCTAGACAGAGACTCTGGATTGAATCCAGAGGGGGTGTATAATGCGGTGCAAGTTACACATTACTGAGTCTAAAAGAACCTGCGGCTTTCGTCCTGAGGAACCAGAAAAGAGGGGTGTAGCAGGAAAACATTTTCTCATGCTCTGCTGCTGCTGAGGTAGCTTCCCCGTCACCCAACACTTTAATACAAGTTGGCATAACTTGCATACTGACAAAGGCATAAATAGGTCTAAGGGAACAGAACAGATCAGGAGTGATGCACAGGGTCACAACGCCACTCAAATCTGACCCAGCCACCCTTCCGTCGTAGCAAGCAGCAGCAGCTTGTGCCAGCAGATCCACAGCATTGAGTGGTCTGTATGGCTGTTATTCACACTAGAAAACCGGAGCCCAGTGCTGGGTCAATAATACAAACAAATCATGTCATCGGGTGATGGAGGAGATGAAGGACCCACAACTGAAGTCCTCACAGAGTTATCAATCAAATTACTTCCCCAGCAGTTGCAAACATTCTTCGTTGTATCAACACTCCAGCAGGCACTGAGCAGATGGAGATATTGGAGAAGTACTTATTGCCCAGTTATTCCAGCAGTAAGTGTGGGAAGGGAAACTGAGGGAGCAGGAGGTTCCACATTAAAGGAGAATAAAAAAAGGCGGTCATGCCAAAATCACAACATCCGAACAGGAGAACTGCACTGTGCTATTATCATCTCAACAGCTGGGCTGCACTCAGCTTTGACAGAATATTCCAGGGTGTCAAGAACTGCAAGGAAAGTGCCTAGGTTATGCACATTAATTTACACTCTGGAGACCCGGAAATATTAACAAGATGGAAGGGTATTTTTAGAATATTCGGCTATTGAAACTAAGGAAGGAAGTGTCTGTCCTCATTAAAATCTTCACTCTCACTCAACTGTCATTTTTTTTAAAGCTGTTGACTGATGCAGCCTTTAGCGGTCACCATGGCAACAAGATACATTACCTAGGCGATGATGCTCTTATGCTGTCACCCCTTGAGTGACCCAGTTCTACAAAAAAAGAAAAATTTTGAATAAAAAAAAAAAAACCTTCAAGTGGAATTTTTTCTTGGCTCCTGCCATGTTCATTTTCTGTGCTGCTGACGGCGTAATGAGAGTCTACATGCCTCCAACGTGCCAGCAAGATCAAAACCAGGAGAGCTGGTGGGAGAGAAGATTCCAGAATATCTCCACAAATAAGGATCACACTGGATTAAGTGCAATTTGGAGGTGGTGACAACTCATTTGTGACTAAGTCGAGAGCTGGCTACCTGGGAAGCTATTTTCCAATCAGCCGTTTTATCACACGCGATCCATCGCCTGAAAATTCACAACATCAGTTCGCTAGTTAGTTTCCTGTTGGAAAAATGTGTTGCCCAGTCAGGAAGCAGAAACAATACCACATGACCAATCGCAATCCCAACCGAGATGAGACTGCTGTTTGTTTTGAAAACCTACCGACTGAGCAGGGAGTAGAGTGGGAGCTCCTGTTGGCAGAGAAGGACAGGGACTACCGCTCCATCACCCTGCTCCTCCTTTAACCCTGAGTGGTGCAGGAGAAAACATTGTTTAACCCTTGTTATGTATAGAGCTTTGAGAACTGTGCGGACGGCATGTCAGTGGTGACTGTACCTTTAAGGTCTGGATCATTCTTGGTTGGATGTATAATCCACACAAGGAGAATGTGGGTCTTTGTCCTCCTCTTGTGGCTGGCCCACCAAAAAGGATCATGAGCTGGTACTGCTTGTTGCTCTGAAGCAGAGTCACAGTTAGGTGAAGTGCTAGGAGCTTGTGCTTTTAGCCCTGGGAGGACGGGGCTCAAGGTCACCCCAAAGGGGGTCAGTTACAGGTATTTCACACTGAGTTACTTGGAGACTGAGCTAGGAACAGAGTGGGTCAGACGTGACTTGTGAACAAAGAGCATCTCGGTGCTGACCATTCACTTTTGTTGCTCGTCTCCAAGTAGTCATGGCAGCTGGACTGAAAAAGGCATGATTCGGCTCACTGGAATCTGGAAACAACACGCCCCTCCCCCTCTCGTACACCCTTCATGGCTTTCTCCCAGAGCCAGCCCCTCCCCCACCCCCGCCCCCCCCTCCCCCTCCCCCCTCAGGCCGGCCCCCGCCCCCCCCCCCCCCCCATGGTCACAAGCCCCACTCCATCTTTTAATCTCACTGCTCTAAATCCTAACCTATCTTACTCTAGCTCATCTCACTTCGCTCTTCTCTCATCCATTGGCAGTTTGGTGACCCTTATATGAGAGGAGTTTGGTAGGTCTCACCACAAACCGATCACCCCACCTTGCACTAACTGAGAAAGACTGCATGGGCCAAAGAGACTGAACTGCTACCCTACCCAGAAGGGAAGTCCGTCCCCTCCTTCAGTCCAAATGCCCTTCCTCCCCTCCCACCCCGCCCCATCATGTCCTGCCTTTCATGTCTCCCTGTACCACCACTGTAAGCAGACTGAAAATCTGCTGGGGCAGCGGGAGAGAAGCTACACAGGACTCTGGGGGCGCTGAGCAGCCTGCAGAAGACACACCACCATCCTGAGTGCCGCTCAGATGATGTCACTTGCAAGGCAGGACAGGAGGAAGGGCAAAACTTAGGGTTGCCATCTTTGGTTGGATGAATTCCTGGAGATTTCATCACATGACAGTCGTTAGTTACAGATTAATCTTTAATTCCTGGAGACTCCAGGACAACCCTGGAGGGTTGGCAACCTTAGGCAAAAGCAGCTGACTACAGGAGGCCCCCCTCCTTTGATAGACTACATCCAGAGACAGGCTGGCCTCATTTCCCAGCTTCCTTTCTGAAAGACACTCCGTCTCTTCACCTTAGCCCAACCCCCACGCCAATGCTCCCCACCGGGGCTCTCTCCTATCACTCAGGAGAACTCCCTTCCAGCTGCTCGTCCGGCCTTGCCGGGGCAAGCCAGAAGGAAGAGTGCCACCTACAAAGTCAAACTCTTTCCTACCGCACCCTGGGATTTTCTTTGAAGTCTCCCATCCAAGTTCCGAGCAGGTCCAGTCCTGCCTAGCTTAAGGAGTTCTAAGCAGACTGCAACATGATCGCGGGCACGCAGATCCATTCCAGAGTGAGGCCACACCCACATACCAGACCCTAAGAAGGAACTATCCTCAGACTGCCAAGTGCTCAATATAAAAGTGGCCGGGCTTCTATGAACTGCACGTTTCCAGGCTGGTCTCTTACTGCCACAGAATTGTCCCTTCTTGGCTCCTTTCTACGCAGCCTAGTTCAAGGTAATGGCACTCAGGAGAGACCGGTGCAGAGGCAGAGCGGAGATTGAGAAACAGGGTGTGGTGAGCATGGGGGCGCTAGGCGGGGACTGTTGATCTGTACCCCGAGGTGAGGTTTATGCAGAGGATTTCAGAGACGGTGGAATGTCAGAGCAGTGCAGACAGACCCAGCAGACTCCCTCCCAGGTAGGGTGACCAGACAGCAAGTGTGAAAAATTGGGACAGGGGGTGGGTGGGAGGTAATAGGAGCCTATATAAGAAAAAGCCCCAAATATCAGGACTGTCCCTATAAAATCAGGACATGTGGTCACCCTATTCCCAGGCAGGAGAGCAGTGACTGCAAGCCAGTAAAGCTGAATGGGTCTAAACTGGCAAACAGCAAAGCATCATGGGGGCACTCTCTTAGGGCTTGTCTACCTGGGGAAGTTCACCAGCAATACTAGGTGATGGAATTTTAATGCTATATGTAGTTATCCTGGTGTAACTCCCCGTGTAGACATCTGAAATAAGGGGCCTTTTTGGTTTGTTATTTATCTGTGTTATCACTGCCCCGAGGAGCCCAGTCATGGACCAGGACCTATTGTGCTAGGCGCTGTACAAACAGAAGAGACGTGTACAGAGTGTAAGACAAGAGACAACAGATGGACACAGTCAGAGAGGGGAGTCCAGGGAGTCAGCATGACAGGCGAGGTCTCAGCACACCAGCAGCCTAACTTGTCAATTTTTTTTTTGGCATGGCAAAAGACTAAAAGACTTCACACCTAGGCCCTGTAACAAAAGCCAGTGAATACTAGGGTAATTGGCCTCAGGCACACTGAGGGGGCAGGGCTTTGAGAAAAGGGAATTTCCTTACTGAGGGGCGCAGGGGATAAGAAGACAGGTAGGAAGACACAGACCTCACTAGCAAACGAACAAAAAATGTGCTCTTACAATTGAGTTAACACCATTTTTTTCTGCAGCGAAGACAAGGCTGGATTCCAAGAGCACGTTGGCCTCCTAAAAGAACTTAAGTTCGGTCTGTTCTTTTCCTGCAACTGCAGAAGGAAGCCCATCTAACTAAGGCCTGGGCTACATTTCAAAGTTAGATCAACTAGCTACATTGCTCAGGGCAATGAAAATTGTGCCATCGTTAAGGTGACCTAAGCCAAGCCCCACTGTGCTGAAAGTAGATTGATGGAAGAATTCTTCTGTCAATCAAGCTACTGCTTCTCAAAAGAAGTGGATTAACTACATCAATGGAAAAAACACCTTCTGTCAATGTAGGAAGTGTCTCCACTATGGGGCTACATCGGCACAGCTGCAGTTGCACAGCTGTACTGTAGACATACCCATAGTGCAGGGACGGGCAAACTTTTTGGCCTGAGGGCCGCATCAGGTTTAGTAAACTGTATGGAGGGCCAGTTAGGGGAGAGGGTCCCCCCCCCGGGACTCCTGCCCCATCCAACCCCCCCATTCCCTGACGGCCCCTCTGGGACCCCCGCCCCATCCACACACCCTCGCTCCCTGTCCCATGACTGCCCCCAGACTCCTGCCACCCCATTGAATCCCCCTTCCTGGCTTCCCCCCCGGGACCCCCGCCCCTATTCAACCCCCTCTTCCCCACCCCCCAACCCCTATCCACACCCCTGCCCACCACCCCAAACTCCCCTGCCCTCTATCCAACCCCCCTGCTCCCCCTTACTGCGCTGCCTGGAGCACCGGTGGCTGGCGGTGCTACAGCTGCCGCCCGGCTAGAGCTGGGCCACGCTGCTGCCACCACCACGCAGCACAGAGCTCCGGGTCAGGCCAGGCTCTACAGCTGTGCTGCCCCAGGAGCTCACAGCCCTGCCACCCAGAGCATTGCGCCAGCGGCGGAGCGAGTGAGTTGAGGCTGGGGGGGAAGGGGGGAGAAGAGACAGCAAGGGTGGGGCCAGGGGCAAGCCTCCAGGCCAGGAGCTCGGGGGCCGGGCAGGATGGTCGGCCTGTAGTTTGCCCACCCCGCCATAGTGTGTAGTTAAGTGTAAGGTTAGTCTCCGCTAGCTAAGCATGGCTGTTTGTTGTTTTCACAGCAGTTTCTCCAACGCTTTGTTCCGTTTACGAATAAACCTGCTTGTTTTTAAAAAGTGGTTGGTTGCTATCTCATGGTCACAGGCTCCTGAAGGGAAGAGGGACAGATAGTACTGCACAGGCCTGAGTGGATAAGTGGCTAGCACAGGCAGGATGCTGGATCCAGATCCTGGTCTAAGAGTGGAAGAAGTGCAAAGTCTCACTCCCAAGACAGGTAAAGGCATGAGGGCTGACAGCTGAGGGGGTGCACGAAGAGAGGCCAGAGATGCAACCAGCTCCATAATCCTGACACAGGTTTTGCACCAATATAGCCAAGCACCTTCCACTCCCAGCTAGGTTACTTTGCTTATTCATGTAGATGACCAATGACACATCACCACATGGCAACCTTTCTGCTCCCTGTTTAAATGACTGAAACTTGAGTAGGGGGGCCAATAAATGGAAGGCAGTGTTACCTAGCGAACAGGGCACTGGACTGGAATTCAGAAGACTTAGGTTCTATCCCCAGTTCTACCACTGGGTGACCTTGGGCAAAAAAATCACTTCACATCATGCCTCAGTTTGCCCATCTGTAAGATGGGGATGATACTGACTTCCTTTGTAAAGCACTTTAAGACCTATAGAAGGAGAGCTAGGTATTAGTAATTAAACAAACCGTGGATGCTCTCATCCACACACAAATGCCTTGATCACAAAGGACACATTCATGCCAGGCAAATAAAATGGAGGGGGAGGGAGGAAATATGTACATGGCTGAACTGCCATTTAGAATCTTAGTGAACGCTGTTCTTGCCATCTCCAAACAGCTGGAAATTAGAAGTGGAAGAGACGTTCATGATCATCTCCTCTGTCAACCATGCACTGGCGGGAAGATGTCAGATGAATAAGATCTCACGTGCTCTGTGCAGCAGTTTTAGACGACACAAGCAACGCACTACTTCCTTTGGGAGACCATCCCACCATCTTACAGAATGCATGCCTTTGACCGGATATTTAACCTGCATTTTCCTTTGTTCAGCTTCATCCTGTTACTCCTCATTGTACCCCCAGCTCCTGGGGATATTTAAAAATGGGGGGGGGAGAGAATGAGCAGTGACAATGTAGATCTCATGGGGGATTATTGGTGTGTAATTAAGCAATATGCAGATTTGCTTGTTACTATGGATGTGTTAAAAAATTAACTTGACCTAGTTTGAGAAATTCTAGCGACTCAACAATGCATCATGTTTCCCCAGAAATTCACCAGTGCCAACAAAGGGCCCTGTTCTGAGGAGAAGGAGCTTTAAATAAATTCTCTGCGGCAAAGGAGGAGGGTCAGAAAGAGGGGGGGGGAGGGAAAGGGGGAAGGATGGTGGTTCAGCGAGTCAAGTCACCTAATGATTCCTGACATTTTACACATCACATCACAAGGCTCCTCAGTGGAGAGAGAAACAGAACAGCCAGTTTTGCTGCCAGAACAAAGAGGTACACTCACCGTTTGGTCACCAAGCCTTGCTCCGGAGCAGATGAAGTTTAAAGAGGTTGTGAAAGTTTAAAGACTGTCACCATGAGAAACAGGAAAAACGCAGAATATCCAGCAGACGTAGCAACTGGGGTCAGGAGATATATTGATACACTCAGCAGTTCAGAGAGGTTTTTCCCTTCCCCTCCCTTTCTAGAGAGGCCATCATTGTAATATTTGGCCTCTATTTATGGGTTTTACACGGCTGCAGTTTACCATAGTATCTGAGCTCCTGCCATGTAAAAAAAAAAATCATGAGTGGCAGCGAAGTCCGTAATGGACTTGATTGTCTGAGACCCTAATATTTGTATTTTATTGGTACCTGGTATTTTATTATTGTTAAACATGTATATTGCAGTAGCCTCCGATGGCAACACGCAGGCTGCCCCACCCCCATGCAACATACAAACACATCACAAGTGCCCCATAGTCCCTGCCGCCCCCCCCCCCCCTTTTTTTTTTCCTCTTAACTGAATCTTTGAATGCTGCTTTTTGATGTTGTTTTGTTGAACTAGTGGAGCTGCCTGGCCAAGAAACAGGCATTAGAAGTTAGGGCTCCTAATTGACTTGCTCCTTGTAAAAAGTTAATGAAATAAAGCACAAGCAAATAAAAGTTTTTCAAACGTACAGTTACCTGCCATGAAACCACTCTCACACTACCAAGAGCAGAGCAAATTCAAGCCCTTACAGGTCATTTCAGGACTGTAATTTGTGCTGATCTTCGGAGGTTAGTCTTGGGCATCAGGCAGTGCTGCTGATCTTCAAAGAACCCGAGCAATCCATTTACACTGGGTTGGATCAGTTTTCACATCCCAGGATGACTCAGCAAGCGAGAGGGATAGAATTTGTTTGTTAAATTAAAAGCTAATACCATGGCTCCCCCTGATTTTTGTAGACCTGGCAAGGGACCCCATGAGCAGGGCCGGCTCTGGCTTTTTGGCCGCCCCAAAAAAAAAAACGGGGCAAAAAAAAAAAAAAAAAAAAAAAACCTGCGGCATGGCCGGAGCGCGGGTGCAGGGGGACCGGCTAGCGGGGGAGAGGGAGCGGGTGGGAGAGAGAGAGAAGGGGGGCGGCCAGGGCTACAGCGGGATGCTGCCACGCGGCCCACCACACCTCACCGCCTGCCAGGAGGGCTCCGCTCCGGTCGGCGGGGAGGGAAGGACGAGGACTGCCCTGCCGGGCTTGCTGCAGGGCGCTCCTGTCCTCTGCGCCACCGCCCCCTACAGGGCGGCCGGAGCAGAACAACAACAACAACAAAAAGCGGCCGTGCCGCCCTAGGATTGGGCCGAATGCCGCCTCGTTCAATCTGCCACCCCAAGCACCAGCTTGCTCGGCTGGTGCCTGGAGCCGGCCCTGCCCATGAGGACACTAGCTGAAGAGGGTAAGGAGAACAGGATTAGCAGACTGATCCCAGACTAGGTTAGGGAAGCAAAGCCTACTACACTCCCTCCTGAAGGCTGAGAAGAGGAGCATCTGCCTGAAGGTAGAGAGTCTGGTAGTTAGCGGCTAGACTGCCCCACACAAGGGAAAAAGCAGGGACATCTTGCAAAGATTCATCAGCCTTTGGAGAACCCCCCACCCATCACAAGGATAACCCCTGCAGATGGGTGCCAACGAAAGATACCATTGTAGGGCACTATCAGAAGGTAACCCTCTGTCTTTCATTTGGTAGAGAATGACTTCTCTCTTCCCGCTCCATGCCGAGTATATTAGCTCAGACAAACATCGGATTCTTTTCAGAATCTGTTGTGGCTTAACCGACATGCCCATGGGAACTGGTTCCCTTAGGGCCTGTTAGGCATCAGGGCTTGTTTACGGTTTTCAAAAAGGTCTTGCCAGCTTGGAAGAAAGAAATCAGTGTGCAAATCCAATGCCTTCCAAGACCTTCCCGCACACTGCTGCCTGCCTGAATGCATTGCTTTCACTACACTCCAACGCTCGGCCCGCGAAATGACGTAGGGCATTGTTCGGAGGCATAAGCCTGCTAAGGCACCACACACTGACCCCATGCAATTCGCAGCGTAGGAGCCACTAAGAGAGACAAGCTGAGTCACATAGCAAGGACACAAACCAGAAAAATGAGTGGACTAGAACGAAGTCCAATTTGGCTCTGGACAAGCTGGATTTTGAGTGTTCTCTGGCAGCGCGTACGATGCTTAACTAGGATTTTGTTGCGCATTTGAGTCATGCGGTGTTCTAGGGAAGCAGGAGAAAGGTGGGGCCAAACCCAACCCTGGTGTAAGTGAATCAGCTTCATTTGTCAGCTGAATGACTCATTGGAAATAGACGGCCCAAGCCACACGAGAAACCTTTACCACTGACAAACATGGGTTTCTGGTCTGTGTCAGACCCCCTTTTTCCCCAGCCTCATCTGGGTCAGATTCCCGTCCTCCTCTCTCCATCTTCGGGGACCCACTTAAATAACCCACCAAATAGCAATAAACAATAGGGTCAATAGCACGACAGGTAACCACCTGGCTTATTGCAAGCCTGTTGCGATCATGTGCAAGAGGTAACTCTTCCTCCTAGCATTGCGATTCCAAGAGTAATTTTGTTGGTTTCCAACGGACTATGGTTACTGCCCCTGTGCGCGTTAATTTCTTAAGATCACATCACCAAAGCATGCCCACAAAAGCTGAAATGAAAATCAGCTTGTCAAGTCACTTGAAAACAAGTTGAGAAGCATCAGGATAATAAAAAAGGAGCACTTGCCTGCTGGGGTTTGTGCAGAGATGGAAGGTTTCATTATACAGCCGTCCCACTGAGGACTCCAAAGTCCCCACTGATTACTTTGTGCAAAAATGGCCTTAACACAGCGGGCTCTGAACGCAAAGGTCAGAATACTATTCTCACGTGTGTTCTAGCAGCTTTCATCTAGAAGGATTCCAAAGCATTGTGGGAACCTGTTGGTAAACCTGACTGACAGGCAGGCATTGCTGGGGCAGAGCAAAGTATGGGTTTAAACCACACACAGGAACACTATACAACTGCTCAACAGCAGCAAGTTAATGCTTGACATTTGTGTAGCTTACGGTTTTAATTTGCACACAAAACCCAGAGTCTGTCATGCCTCTGCCATCTCCCTGGTCCTCCTTAAAAAAAAAAAAAAAAAAAATCTGCTTCTTTCAAAAGGCCTATAAATTCTAGTCCTTCCCCCAAAGGGGTATTTTTAAAAAACACCTGAAAGGGTTAAAGAACACACATGATGCCTGCTAGACAACTCCACTCAGTCAGCCACTGCCTGTTGCATGTTCCCCATCCCTCATCTCTATGGTGGGTGGTTTAATTAAAGCCCAGTCCTGCACCACTGTCAGGAGGATCATGGCCTGAGACTGTAAGCTTCTCAGCACTGCAAGAACCTCGCACGCTAGTAGTGTACTGGCGTTTGATAATTAACCGTCTCCAGTAGCTTGTGAGGTTGAAACAAAAAGGAGCAGATTTTCAAGAGCAGCTCCAGGCCAGATTTTTCGAGCACTTAGCTCCCACAGCTGGGCCAGATTTTCAGAACAGCTCAGCTCCCACTGAGGCACCAAAATAAAGGCTAGCCATTCACGCGTTTCCATATGTGCGGAGTTCTTCTGAAAAATACAGCCTCCATTTAATGAAAGGTTTAAGATTTCGTCCAGAATGTCACCCACTTAAGCGCTCTCATTTCTGCAATGCTAATAGCACAATTAGGAGTAATACACCCTGCTGGAATAGTTAGTTAGCTGCAAACATCTGGGTCTGGCATCTTCCTCTGGTGCCCATGCCGTAGATTAATGCTACCGAATTGTAAATCCTCATCCTGCATCCACACAAGTGGCTTCCCCTGGCGATTTATGAAATTAATCAATATAGATCAGAAGCGTGCTGGATGGGACGTGCGGCATGTATACAGGCTGCCAGGGTTTCAGGTTACATCCTCCTCCAGGGCACTGCACTGTGCCACACAGCACACCCTAAACCCAGAGCTTTCTGCTCCACGCAAGGCAAGTTTAAAAAGTTCATTAGTTTCACTAGAACTAAAAGCCACCCTAAGTTGCTGCCTCATCTAGGAAATGTTTGAAAGGTTTGGTCGCTTTCCTTCCCAAGGCAAACACCAGCCGCAGCCAAAAGAGAAAGCTGTGTAAAGTTCTGCATGGAGGCAGCTGGGTCAGTGCAAAAAGGATTTAGCACTGAACACGTGTCCATCCTGCTGGCAGCGCGCTCTCAGCCGCCTCACCAAAACCAGGTGCGCCCCAAGATCAGCAGCTGCCCCCTTTAACAGGCTTCTCACTTCCCAGCAAAACTGCCTAACAGTTTTAGCCTCCCAATCTCACCTTAGCCAGAAGGAGCTTCGCATTTGCTGAACAGGCCAGAGAAAGGTTCCTCTGCGACAGGCCAGAATTGTAACAACAGGATCAGGCAGTGACCTGCCGCGAAGGAGGAATACCAGACCACCTGCTTGTACTTTTCACCCCCATTCTCTCTCTCCCTCTTTTCCCTCTCCGGGCCTTTCAGGCAGAGCCCCTGCCAGAACTGTCCTTTGGATCAGAGGAAGCGGCACTCCCCTTAGTTCCTTAAAAACAGTCAGATGAAGTTTTCTTAAGGTGGCACCTACAAGTTCTCGCCTTCCAGATAGCTACTTTGCTTTGTTCACTGGCCAATTCTTTGACTTGCTGTCTCTACTTTCCAGCTTAGCTGTTTGCTTCCCCTAGTCTTTTTCTTCTTAAAAAAAAAAAAATCTCACACACACACACACACACACACACACACTTACTTCTATTGGACCTTCAGTCAGACACAATATTCATGAGAAACTGCTACAAATGTGATTAGGAACAAAACTACCAGTTTCAAAATTAAATCACCGAGTACAAGTAAAATTATAAAAGGAAATGGTTGTCAGACAAGGCTTCCACAGGTATGACACAGAAATACCCAGATCTAACACCTACATGTGTCATTTGACAGAAGTATTAAGAGAAAAGGTTGAGCAGACTTTCGGGAATTGATTTTCTTTTCATCTTTTTTTCAGGAAGCAGCTAGTCTGTGAATCCTAATGTTTTTCCACCTGTTCCTCAGCTTTGGGTTTAAGACCTACTTACACACAGGTATGACAAGTTTGTAACACACTGTGCATTTGTAGTGGAGTTTTTATTCCATCTCCCACCTTGAATTAAAAAAAAAAAAAAAATTCAGTGGGTTATTCCAAGTTAGCTCGGGATTCCTTATACATGTAGTGTATGTGACCCCACTGAAAGTGTTAACTTGTAAATGCCGGCTTTGAGAAACTGCTTCATCAGCTATCTTGAGGGTGGTCCACTGTTGCCTAGCAATGTCAGTTTGTTCTGATTACAATGTTTGTAAGGTGGGTGGGAAACCTGAATGGGTGCAGACTTTAGCAGGCCTGAACTGGTGTTTTCTGCAATTTAAAAAAGATAAATATATTGAGATAGATGCCAGAGGTAAATTAATTTAAGGGGTACAAATCCACACAGCTTCATTGGCTTCAATGGAGTTATGCCAATTTACTAGCTGAGAATCTGGCCCTATTATTATTATTGGGCTAAATAGATCAATATTGATTATTAAAAACAAAAGATACAAGTGATAAAGGATATACTCTTTTCACAGTGCCATTGCAAGAGAGGTAGAAAGAATCAATGGAGCTTACAAGGAAGAGGAGAATGGCCCTTTCTGTAACACACCATACCGCCTCTCTAGAAGTCAAATCAGCTTTATACAAATATATATTGAGCCGTATTCTTACACTCCTTTATAAGGAGCCTTGGAAATAAGAAAATTAAAACATCTACACTTTTATACACACATGCTACTTAATTTTTACCATTTGATTTCTAATGCCGACGTTAAATTCAAACTGGAAATAAATGCACCCTTTTAAAAAAAATAAAGAAAAAATACACAGTGAGGGTAATTACCCATTGGAGCATCTTCCCACGAGATGTGGGGGGAATCACTGTCACTAGGCATCTTTAAATCAAGATTGAATTAATGACTAAGGCCCTGATGCTGCAGACACTTATGCACGTGTTTGCAGGTTTGGGGCCTAAAAGCAATAGTCTGTTCAACTATAGATTATTGGGCTGGAGACAGGAATCACTTGAAGAACTTGTGTGGCTTGTGCTGTGCTGGAGACCAGACTTGGTGATCAATGGTCCCATCTGGCTGCCCAGGAAGCACAGTTTATGAATGAACATTCACCCGCGGTTTCATTTTTTAAAGTTGTCGCCGTTCAGAGGTTCGAGAAGCTGAACAGCACTAACCTCCCCGACATGATCCAGAGAAGCCAAAGCTGGCTACTAAGTAAATGTGTTCATGTTTAGCCTGCTTAGAGGGTGCTGGGGGGTTTTCTACTTAGATGTCGTTTACTCTTGAGCGGTTGGGGCTTTTTGTCGGGTGTTGCCTGACTGCAGATCTTTTGCCAGGGCTTAAAGAAAGAGCGATCAGAGCATTTTATAACCAGGGACAAAACTCAGCAGGGGAATTGTGTTAAAATCTCCACAGGAATTACTCTGTGCTTTCAATTTTGCTTGGTCCCGTTTGTAAAGGGACATCAGTGATTTAAAAATAAAATCAGACTAAAGTCGAGTTCTAACAATTCACTCTTACGGTTACCGTAACAATAATCAGAGGGAAATAGTGGGTTGCCTTTTCAGTTTATTTTGTGCATTTAATAGCCCTTTGACTAGTCATGGTTTCCCCTGGATCAGGTCCCAATGGACTCCACACAGGATGCAAGTCAACGGAAAGACTCCTATTGACTTGAGATCTGAGTGATTAGGTTCTGATCCACAGCCATTCGTGTATGCTACAATTAGCCATCTTAGGGACCCCAGTTTCAGTGCAGTTGTAACTATATTTAAGATGGTCTGGTCTCCCCAGGCAAAGCCACATCTTATAAACATGGTCAGAGCACACTGTGTGGCCATTGCGTCCCCTAAGATCATAGAATATCAGGGTTGGAAGGAACCTCAGGAGGTCATCTAGTCCAACCCCCTGCTCAAAGCAGGGCCAATTCCTAGACAGATTTTTGCTCCAGATCCCTAAATGGCCCCCTCAAAGACTGAACTCTCAACCCTGGGTTTAGCAGGCCAATGCTCAAACTGCTGAGCTATCCCTACCCCTGTAACAGGCAAAGTTTTGGGGTGCGTCCAGAGTGAGGATTTTAAAGAATTCTCCCACCATTACACCGCCATCTGTGCTAACAGGGGTGGGAGTGCTGAAATACCCCAGCCACCAGAGTTTTCACCACCGTGTTTTCTAGACCTAACGTGCTCCGGGGATATGTACTGTTTCTTTAATTCGATATAACGGCGCTAAATTCGACATAAAAGCCTAGTGTAGACCAGGCCTAAGTCTGGCACCAGAAGCCAAGCAGGAGTGAGGCTGAGGTAGGTTCTAGGCAGAAGAGATTACAGAGAAGCAGAGACTGGTTTTAGGAACAGCACCGTTTTCCTTAGTCTAATTCCATTAGAGTTCCTTGTTCAGTGTTAGCAGAAAGTGTCTGATTATTTTGCCAGTGTCGTGTGTCACTGGACTCAGCCATTTTACCCCACACCATCTAATCATAGATTATTAGGGTTGGAAGGGACCTCAGGAGATCATCTAGTCCAACCCCCTGCTCAAAGCAGGATCAATCCCCAACTAAATCCCCAAATGGTCCCCTCAAGGATTGAACTCAACCCTGGGTTTAAGCAGGCTCAACGCTCAAACCACTGAGCTATCCCTCCCCCCAATCTTACTCTGCAAGTCCCTGCCTGAGTTCAACCTCCATATTCTCTTCACAGGCCACTCCCCTCGCGCAGACTCACTTTAGGACTTTTGTTGCTTTCTGCTTTTCCACGCCAGTCTGCAAAGGGAACATTAGGTAGCAAACAGTACAAAGGGAAGAACATAAGACAGGTCACACCTGCTTGGACCCAACCCTGTGCTGAAATGGTTCATCTGAACGCTCGCCTTGGGAAAGGGGCAGGGGAGTGCTGTTTTGCCTTCACGGCTGTGTCTGCATCATTGCTTTGGCGGTCAGCAAGAAGTCTCCGTAACAAGCCACGATTGGGGGAGCCTGCTACACGTTTGTATCCAGGAGACGGAAGCCGAGTAAGAACCAGGTTTACAACAAAACAGGAAGCAGCCATCACCCAGGATCAACGTGCTTTCTTCCAATCAACCCTGTTTTGCAGCACTAACCTGGCTGTTCCTGAAGGGTGGGGAGGGCCATAGGTTGGTCTGGCTCTTTATATGCTGTGGGCCTGATTCTCCACTGCAGTGCACCTAGCATCACCACCTGTGCCAAATGGACACCAAACACTAGGAAGTCAGAATGGGAGCATTTTACACCCATTCTGCACTGGTGTAAGCAATGGTGAACAGGAATCGAGCACCAGTCCCTGCCTATCCCACCCCTTAGCACCAGGGCATTGTTCTTGCACTGAAATGTGTAGGCAGTGTGACCTAGTGGACAGAGCACTGGACTGAGACCCAGGAGACCTGGCTTCTATTCCCTGCTCTGCCACTGGCCTGCTGGGTGACCTTGGTCAAGTCACTCACCCCCCTTTGTGCTACATTTTCCCTACCTAGAAAATGGGGATGCTGTTGCTTTGTAAAGTGCTTTGAGATCTACTGATGAAGAGTGCTACATAAGAGGTATTAAGTGTCCCAACATGCTATAGGATGGCTTTTACGGTCTTCCTCAGGTTATTAAGATAAATGACCACCAGTTAGACATCTTTTCTGCAGCACCTTCAAGATGTTGAAAACCAAAACAATGTTCTATCAGGTAGCATTTAAAAGACATGTTTTCAGGCATGGAGCAATCTCCGAGCATAGACTCTTTCATATATTATGCTTAAATCCTAACAAGCCCATTAATCCAGTTTTAGCTAATGACACTATGAAATGAAGAACTGAGCTTCTGATCTTTGAAGTGTATTGAAGAACCTAACATTACCCGCCGGTGACCAAAGAAGTTAAGGTAGACCAAGAAATCCCTAGCCCCTTTGACAGAACTTCGCACCGGATGGCGTTTCGGATCCACTGAGTGTCAGCGTTTAGAAAGCCTTGGTCGGTAAAACAACTTGATGACTTGCCAAACAAATACAAAGGTGGGTCCCAAGCTTAAGGAGCAACCTTTGGATCACTCTCATTCTGTGCAGATCTTTCAGGCTCTCAGTTGGAGGAAGCCACTCACCACCCGAGAACTTGCCCTCGGTATCTAGGATAACCCTCATCAGCCATTTCTAAAGCCACGGAGGGGGGGGCATTATGTTGCATCTGTTATATTGATTAGCCCCTACTCACGGAGTAGTATTGCTCAGGTCCATGGGACTCCTCACCCAAGTGCTCTAAGCACCGCACAATCAGCCTTGTCTAGGCTAAGCTACCCACTGCTGAC